CTTTGGCTTTTTATAGTGAGAACGTTTGACAGGCGAATATCCACTGCGTTCTGCAACACTGCTATCAATGCACATGTAGCGCCCAAAAAGATAACTCTTATCTTTCGTGTACAATTTACTTGTTGACCGATTGTACATTACTCCTTCTTGTTTTAATCTTACAACCGGCTCGACACACAACTGCCTTGTAAGTTCCCGCGCTCACGTGTACGCTCTTGCCTCGCTTCATCCGTCCGTTTCTTGTTGTAGTCCCATCGAATACAGTCCGCTGTGTCCGACTCCAATTGCCTTCTGATATCCGCGCTTAATTCCGCGCACCGTCTCGGACTAGTATTAACTAGTCCTACAAATTGGTGACCCCGATTCGCACGCGCGAATTCAACATTTATTTTCTCGTTTGTATTTTTGGTGAGTTCGTTCCTTTTTCTCGATTATATACGTATATTCATTTGTTTCTTGCGTAATTTTAGTACTTTTATCGTATTTTGTTCGTTATTTATCTTTCGACTCACATTTCGAGAGTGGCATCTGAGTCGTTTCACAGCGTAACCATGCTTACTTTGGCTGTTCCAAGTTTCATGGAACACAGTCCAGAAGTTTGGTTTAAGATATTCGAGATCGAACTAGAAAATAAGGGCATAACGGCGGACCGTCCAAGGTACAATCAGCTCGTCCCACGCCTTCCTCCGTCGGTAGTGACGCTGATTGAGGACATTCTACTCTGCCCATCGAATGAGGCAAAGTATGAAACGATGAAGCAAGCGATATTGAAAGAGTTACGACCCAGCGCACGAACACGATTTGAGCAGCTCAATGGTCTCAAGCTTGGAGATCGCAAGCCGTCGGCATTGCTCCGCGAACTTCAGCGCATCGCTGGTCCCTTATTCTTGAGCGAAGAAGGGATAAAGGAGCTGTGGTTTGCACGTCTCCCAGAGCCATTGCCGGTAATGCTGTCCATGTTTATAGATGCACCCTTGAAAGACTTAGCTACCAAGGCAGACGCTGCGTTCGAACGTTTTCCGCAGCAGACGACCAGTAACTCCGGTGACGTATTCTCACCGATGAAAACCGAATCCCATGTTTGTTCCCAGTCGCTAGACCGATCTGACTCTAAAGACGAGGAAATTGCGCTACTTCGCAGCAGGATAGCAGCAATGAAGGCTTCGAAGCAGCGGGTGCCACGGTCAAATGCTGACCACGTTTTGGCTACCGTTCATTGCGGCTCGTCTGTGCCTGCACCGAGTACGTCACGTTCGGCACGAAAGCGCCACATTTTCCTTACAAGTTCTCAGTCAGATAAGGTCAAGCCCGTCGAAGAAGTATGTTGGTATCACCGCCAATACGGTGGAAGAGCTAGACGTTGTCGGGCTCCCTGCATTAGGCACGACCCAGGGAAAACGAATAGCCCGCATACTAGCACTACAAACGTAGCATGCAATAACCAAGCAAACCGACTGTTTTACGTTAAGGATCGACGTTCTTCCATCACGTTCCTCATCGACACGGGAGCGGAAGTCAGCGTCATCCCAGCGACCGCTAGCGACAAGCACTCGAAGCCGACGTACAATTTGCGTGCGGCCAACGGTTCTCCGATAGCTTCATTCGGTCAGCGCATGATGAACCTAGACCTCAATCTCCGCCGAGATTTTCAGTGGGTCTTCATGGTTGCGTCTGTACCCTTCGCGATTATCGGTATCGACTTCCTCCGACATTTTGGGTTGCTTGTTGATGCTGGTCGCCACAGACTTTTAGACGATCGTACGAAACTAGGTGTTGATGGTGTCCTTTCAGATGCCCCGATAATCAGCCCTGTATTTCGAATCGCAGACGCACCGTCCGACTACTTGAGCCTCCTCTCCGAATACCCGCGACTGGTTCGACCGGCTGCAGAGCTTCCACCAGTCACAACAGAGGTCGCTCACCACATAGTTACGCGCGGTCAACCAGTTAGCGCACGGCCAAGACGGCTTGCTCCAGACAAACTACGGGCAGCACGAGCCGAATTTGACCACATGCTTCAACTTGGTATCGTCAGACCGTCCAACAGCCCATGGGCGTCGCCTCTGCACATGGTCCCGAAGAAGGTTGTGGGGGACTGGCGTCCTTGCGGCGACTATCGATCCTTGAATACGGTAACCACGCCTGATCGCTATCCGATCCCACACATAGTGGATCTCACCGCCAGTCTGGCGGGTAAAAGTATCTTCAGCAAAATCGACTTGGTACGCGCATACAACCAAATTCCGGTAGCCGAGGCGGACATCGCTAAAACTGCCGTGACGACTCCATTTGGTTTGTTCGAGTTTCTGCGTATGCCATTTGGTCTAAAGAACGCCGCGCAAACTTTTCAGCGTTTCATCGACCAAGTTTGTCGCGGCTTAGACTTCGCTTACGCGTATCTTGACGACATTTTAATCGCAAGCTCTTCACGAGAAGAGCACATACGCCACGTACGAACACTTTTTGATCGTTTATCTCAACACGGGGTGACGATCAACGCAGAAAAGTGTTCGTTTGGTGTCGATTCAGTTAATTTCCTGGGCCATCGTATCTCTTCTGCAGGCGTCGTGCCACTGCAAGATAAAATTCAAGCCATTATCGACTACCCCGAGCCTCATTCTTTCAAACAGCTCAGGCGTTTTGATGGCCTGGTCAACTTTTACCGTCGATTTATACCCAACTGCGCCTCTCTGATGCAACCCCTCACGGACCTTCTCCGAGGGAAACTCAAGACGTTCGAATTTCCTACCGCAGCACGCGCTGCTTTTAAGTCGCTGAAAGAGGCTATCGCCAACATAGCTTCCATAGCGCATCACGATCCGACCGCCCCACTGTCCCTTAGTACTGACGCCTCGGACGTCGCGGTCGGCGCTGTTTTGCAGCAACGCGTAGCCGACACGTGGCAGCCCTTAGCGTTTTTCTCCAAACGCCTACAACCTACCGAATCTCGCTACAGCACGTTCGGTAGAGAACTACTTGCCGTATATCTAGCGATACGTCACTTTCGACACGTCCTAGAAGGCCGCTCCTTTGTCGTCTTCACCGACCACAAACCCCTAACTTACGTGCTCGGCTCGACTACCGACCGATACTCTCCTAGAGAGTCGCGCCACCTTGACTATATCGCTCAGTTTACGACCGATATACGGCATGTCTCAGGTGTGCACAACGCCGTCGCCGATGCACTTTCCCGCATTCAAGCTATCTCCGCTGACGCCGGCACTGCTATCGACTTGGCAGCCATGGCCACAGCGCAACTCAACGACCCTGAGGTTGATCTACTACGCAGGTCTCCCTCATTGGACATACGACCTGTTCCGCTGACATCATCAGACGGCACTATACTGTGCGATTTATCTCTGGGCACGCCGCGCCCAGTCGTCCCACGTGAGTTTCGGCAGACCGTGTTCGACGCGTTGCACGGCTTGTCTCATCCAGGCGTTCGTGCATCGGTTAAACTCGTAACCGCACGATTCGTTTGGCGCAATGTTAATCGGGACGTCCGTACCTGGGCAGCTGCTTGCCTTCCGTGTCAACGCGCGAAGGTGCACAAGCACACGAGAAGCCCATTAGGCACTTTTCCGACGCCAGACGCACGCTTTCATCACGTGCACGTCGACCTCGTAGGTCCTCTGCCGCCTTCCAAAGGCTCGGTATATCTACTGACCTGCATCGATCGATTTACTAGATGGCCTGAGGCCGTCCCTATCCCAAATTGCTCCTCGGAAACAGTAGCGAAAGCTTTTATGGAGCGCTGGGTAGCTCAATACGGCTGTCCCGCCATCGTGACCACCGATCGAGGGTCACATTTTTCGTCAACGTTTGCCACGTTGCTTAAGGATTTAGGCTGTCGCCACGTTCAGACGACAGCGTATCATCCGGCCGCTAACGGCATGGTGGAGCGTTTTCACCGCCAGTTGAAGGCAGCGCTACGTGCGCACGCAGATCCTTCATGGTCTGAAACGCTTCCCCTCGTTCTCCTAGGTTTAAGAAACACGGTTAAGGCTGACTTCGACGCCACACCAGCGCAGCTAGTCTACGGTTGCACGCTGCGGTTGCCCGGACAGCTGGTAGCACCAGCCCCATGTACTTCCACTTTTGACTACGGAAGTTACACTGATCGATTGGCTCACCAGATGCGTGAGTTACGTCCACCCGCTCCTCGATCGCAGAAGACACCAGTGTACGTGCCCGAGAAGCTGTCTACGTGTTCACACGTCCTTCTTCGCGCAGACGGTGTTCGACAGCCTCTTCAGTCGCCGTACATAGGACCCTTCAAGGTGCTGCATCGTGCGAGTAAGGCGTACACTATTGACCGCGGTGGTCGACACGAAGTCGTCACCATCGACCGTCTGAAACCCGCCTTTATGGAAGAAACTACCTCGCCTACTTCGTCTAGTAGTGCCTCGTGCGACGTCACAACTCACCGTACCAATTTTCCGCATGCTAGTGAAGTCCAACCAGACCACGATCACGGTCTGCAAGCTTCAGCAGTCCGACATCACCCGAACCTAGTCCGCCGCCTCCCACGACCAATCGCCGTGGTCGGGAGGTACGTAAGCCCGTTCGCTTCTCCGACTATGTACAGTGTAAATACTTTTAACTTTGTAGATATTGTATATATTTGCCTCGTTTTTGGTCGATTAACGTTTTGAAAACAAACAAAAATATCAAAAACCCCCGAAAAACCTTTTTCGAAAAAAATATTCAAAAACCAAAAAATATTTAAACACGCAGCTCATTCGTTTGTTCTTTTTGGCGTTTTCTGCGCGTGTTTTTCTATTTTCTCGTCTTTACATGCCCCAACCCTCCCCTTCGATCGACTGGCCCACACGAGGAACGTTTTCGAGGACCCTGACGCGAACACTGGTCGTTTCTCCGCGGGACGAGGGTCGCTTCTCCGCGGGACGAGGATCGCTTCTCCGCGGGACGAGGATCGCTTCTTCGCGGGACGAGGATCGCTTCTCCGCGAGACGAGGGTCGCTTCTCCGTGGGACGATGGTCGTTTTCTTCGTGGGACGAGGGTCGTTATGGCGCGGGGCGGGGTGCGGCGGGGGGAGAGACCACTCCCAAGCGCACCGTTTGGCAGCAGCGGAGGTTGAGGTCCTGTCGGCCTTTTTCTGGGCTAGCCAGTTTTTTTGTAGTCCGACAAGCCCGCTCCAACGGCTCGCCGAAATGCACCCTGCCCTGCATTCAATAAATAACAAAGCATAAACGGCACAGCGGACTCCGACTTCCGACGAACCCCCATTTACACGAACGCACGCCCATTTTTACTCGGCACGATTTCGCCCTACGAACCTGGTTTCAACATTCCTTTTCGATTTCGAAGGCTTTCTATGTTCAGCCTTCTAGGGGGGGAGCTCTGTAGCGCCCAAAAAGATAACTCTTATCTTTCGTGTACAATTTACTTGTCGGAGTAGTTGCTCGAGTGACTTGGTTTTATTGCTAGATTTGAGGGCGGCGTCTTCTTCAGCAATCTTGGTTGATTCCTGTGAACCTATTGGC